AAGGGCCTCGTGCAGAACTTGGAGGGGAAAGAACTTCAGTCTTTTCCTATATGATTTCTTTCCGTTTTAATCTTGTGTGCGTTTCTTAATTTATTAATCCTATGCATTTAAAAATAATTATTCTAGAAAGGAATCCATAGGGGCCCATGACACACAAAAAATTAAGGACCTGTGAACTAGATAATCTCCAGCTCTAAAAATACTAGCTAACACTTACATAACACTTTAAAGTTTGCAAAACCTTTTATCTCATTGGGTCCACACAACCCTGAGAGGTAGGTACTATTATTACCCTATTTTACAGGTGAGGAAGCTGAGGCAGACAGATTAAGTGAATTTTCCAAGGGTCACACAGGTAGAAAGTATCTGACACTGGATTTTAACTTGGGCTTTCCTGACTCCAGCCACAGCCCCTCTCCACTAGGCCACCTAGCTGCTTGGTCTTTGATTATATAGTAATGACAGTAGATAGATAGCCACCCAGGAAGTCTTAAATCTGGCCTCAGACACTTACTGGCTGTGTGACCCTGGGCAAGTCATTTAATCTCTTTTGCCTCAGTTTCCTCATCTGTAAAATGAGCTGGAGAAGGAAAGGGCAAACTACTCCAATATCTTTGCCAAGATAACCCCAACTGAGGTCACAAAGAGTTGGACATGGCTGAAAAATAACTAAACAAATAATAATCCTGTGAGTGTCACCTGATTTAGAAGATCGCAAATGGTAGAGTAACATGAGTTGTTATTATCATCTCTCAGTGTGAAATTAAGACTTAAAGGGGTGAAAGGTAGTATAGTGTAAAAAGCTCTCAATTTAGAGTCAGAACATCTGGATTTTCTATCACAGCTCTGTTATTTATACCATCATATTTAAACAGGTCATCTAAAATTTGTGTCCATTTCCTCATTTGTAAACGGAGGGAAACAGTTCTATTGACGACCTCCAAGGATCTTCCACGTTAATCTAAATCCTTTGAATCTATATAAGTCATATGTATTTCAACGTAACAGTTTGATGTTGAAGGGAAAAGGAAGTGGAAGGGGTAAGGGTGTCATTGGAACATTGAAATTAGTCTGCTTCCATATTTTAATCCCAAAACTTGAGGGATTGGAGGGGAGGGACAGGGGGGGTTAGGTGAGCATCTGATGAAACTGTTTCTACTCAAATCACCATTGATTCTCTTCCCTCAGGGCTTTCATCACAGCAAACTGGAAGTACCAAGTTCCTGACCTTTGGATGAGAATACTATTTCCTTTTTCCAGTTTCTTACAGGTAATCTTTTCAGCAGTCGCTTCAGGTTTGGATCCAACCCCAGTTGTTTCTGGGACTGGTGTGGAAATCTTGGGCCCATTGTTAGCACATGGTCTGGGAAAAAGCTGCTGTGTGGTTGAATCCCAGAAACCTGGGTGCAGCCCTGTACCAGTCAGCCTGACTCTGACCTAGAGTAAATTCCCAGGAAAAGTGGGATTTAAATTTTGCAGTAACAGGTGTGAGCATTCTAGCAGCATTTTGATGATCATGTATAATACTGCAAACAATACCTGTCTTGGAAGAAAAAACACATAGTAATGTAATAGAAGAATAAATTCTTCATATATTGAGATACTTCTAATAACCATTACTCACTTTTCAGGTCATTTCCATTTAACACTAATAAAATGCCTTTGTTCGGAGCACTTCATACAAAGTGCTGTTTGAGAATTGAGGAATGAGTGATTTAAAACTGGGCAGGATTTGAACTCCCCAAGGCTTTGGATAGCATACTACAAATTTCATGTTCTTTCTGCCTCTCCCTTCAACAAGTAACATTTGAACGAGGTTTTAAAGGTTGGATAGAATTAAATGGGCAGGGCAGAGCAGAATACATAAGGAGGATAGCTAATAGTCTGGTTTGCCTAGAGACCCTAGGATTTTGTGGTATTTCTACCTCTGTCTCATACCTACTACTTATAGGAAATGTAGGTTCCCAAGATTCTTCCAAATAAAGTTACTTGACATTTATCTTATCCCTTTCAGATTATAGCTAATTTGGACAAGCACTTTGTCTTAGCTTTGAATTCCCCATAGAATTTAGGACAATGTCTGCTATGCATATAGTATGTGTTCCAAAATAGTAGTTGAACCCTGTTTTTAAAAACTCATTCCTACTTTTGTCTTAGTATATTTTTTTTTCCTGATGTGGCTAATATAATTTTGATTTTTGTAGGGGAATTGGTCAAATTTAGTAATCATAATTTTTATTGACTTGCCTTATAAAAGGAATTAGTATTATAAATAGAATATAAATATATTATGCATATGTTGCATATAAGTAGAAAAACTATGAAATACAAACAAAATATTACATACAGGAAATATCTTAATACAATAAGATGCATGCAGTTTGAAGGCAGGATTTACCATCCTGTAGCTTGTTTAAAAAGTTAGGAATTTCAGCGATTTCATCTGACCAAGTTGAATTCAAGCTCAAAATATCTTTCATTTTTGTTGATCTTTTGGCTTTATATCTTCAATTCACACTTCATTCCTCCCTCAACCAAAGAACTGTCCCTTAAGACAAAGAAGAAGAGTAAAAAGCAATTCATTAAAACCAATCATCATACCGGTCATATCTCACAGTATATTCAGTGTTTCTTGTCTCTTCTTTGGAGCCAGGCTTGGTCATTGTAATTACAGAGTTCAGTTTCAACTTTTGGTTGTTGTTGCTGTTTTCTCTGTGTATGTATCCTTGTATTCCTCATATTCCCCAGTTATTACATAATCATAGTTCATTGCATTTTTATAGCACAGTTTGCTAAGCTATTCCCTAGTTGTTGAACAAAAACTTTGGTTTGGTTTTTTGTTTGCTGTTACAAGAGATTATAAATATTTTGGCGTGTGTTAAATATTTCTGTTTTTTACCTCCTTAGTGTTTATGCCTAGCAGTGAGATCTCCAGGTTATAAGGTAAAAACATTTTGTCACTGAAAGGATGATTTTTACAAATGGCATTAATGGTGAAATAAAATTATGTTGCCTACTAAATAGAAATCTCTTTACAGATCAGCTAACCAGAAGATTCCCTCTGTTATGATCCACACATTTCATTTCATCATGATTTTGAATTTGTATGGCTAAGGTAATTTTATGTCAAAACTATTTTGTTTGGTCCAGCCCTTAGGCAATTAAAAAATTAAGGAATCAACTTCAAAATAGTCATACATTCTAAACATACCAGGGCAGTCATGATTTCAAATGTTCTGTCTCATTCCTAACTTTTGAATCATCCTGGAAATTAGGAAATTTGGCAAATAGCTGCTGTCTGATCAAGCCAGTCAGCATTAAAATAAAAATGTGCAAAAATTTTAAAAGATTGAACAGTACGAAACACAGAATAAAAGACTGGAGAAATATAATTGCTCGTAAAAAATAAACGTACCGTCATATATATATAAGACGTATCTGCAGCCGTATTTGTCTGTAGTATGTGACAGCCTGCACTGTGCCTTATACATTGATTAAAATATAAAATATATATTTCTAGGCCCCAGTGAACTTAATTACCTTGGTTGTAGTTTGTATTTGTAATTGTTAAATTTTGTTTCATAGAAGATGAGTATAATTTAACGAAGTGTTGCAAAAAGGAATATACTTAAAGGAATTTTGTAATTTGCATATAGTGCTTTGAATTTAACTTAATGAAAAAACAAATCATCAAAATAAAAAAGATCTGACATCATTTAACACATTCAATCAAGGAGCCCTTGCCTCAGTGAAGAAATTCTGTTTAAAATGGAGCCTGTTGGAGGAAGTAGTAATTGCATTTTAGGAAGAGAATCTGGAACTATGATTTCATTTGTCTAGGCTGTTCTCCATATATACCTCTACTGTTGCAGATCTGCAACTCATCTATAACTTACCTGGGGCGCTGAGAGTTCATATGACTTGCCCGTGGTCATGTAGTTGATGCAAAGGCAGAACTTAGATCTGGGTCTTTCTGACAGTTAAGACCAATGCTTTATCCACTACAGGCCTCACTGCCTTGTAATAATTGCATATTCACCATAAAACACTCTTATAGTTTTAGATATTTAGGTGGCACTTCCTTTCTACATTTTCAAGTCATCATTGGTAATGCACTGCAGTTTGCTTTTTTCAGTTGCATCTTTTCATTGCCTTTTGGATTACTTTAATTTTCATTCTTCCAAAATCATGGTGTACTATTTGTAGCCATATAGTGTCACTAGGACAATTTTGCTGTTAAAGACATGAGCTTATGAATAAAGGATAATTTGAGATCACTTGAAGCGCAGTACAACTTAACAACTATCTCTCTGAATCTACTGTTCAAATCTAGGCCCAGCTATCTAGTGTGATGGTTATTCCATTATTATGGGTTCTGCTGAGACTTGCTGGTACTCCCACACTTGGTATACAATTTTGTCTGGATGAGAACATTTGTTCAGTAATGCAGAGATTTCCAAGATGCTGATGAAAATCTTGGGCAAACGTACATATTTTACAGCTCAGTGGTAGAACAAAGGTATCTCAATTGGCACATGTATGTCATAGAATCATGTATAATTTTAACTTACTCATTAGAGACTTATTTCCAGATTCTTCAAAGCTGTGTAAAGGGTATCCAGTAGTATTCCATTACATTAGAATCAGCACAGACAACTATGAAAAAAAGATTTTACACTAGAAATTATAAGATCATTATAATATTATTATCACTTATCAAATCACAAAAAAAAGTTTAGTCTAACGTAATCTAAGTAAGATTGAAACCATATGGGGATAATAAGCTGTTTTTTTGAGGAGCAAATTAATATTTGTAAAAGTACTTTGCAAAATTAAAAGTTCTATGTAAATGCTAGCTATTTGTTCTATATTTGGGATATGAATGGGGGGGTATATTTAGCTCAGAGCAGTTTTTTATTTTAACATTTTGTATTTTAATTGTATGTGCAGTGGAGGTAGACAAGTGTGCTAGACCATTGAAATGAACTGAAAAATAAAGGAAGCCTTCATTAAAGATCAATATGGTGGAAGAAGGAGAAAGGAAACCTGTGTTGGAAATGGTCCAGGCAGCTGGAACAGATGGAAACTGTGTCACATTTGTGCTGTATGATGAGGACCATACACTAGGAAACTCTCTACGTTACATGATCATGAAGAACCCAGAAGTGGAGTTCTGTGGGTACAGTATCACTCATCCTTCAGAAAGCAAAATTAATTTTCGCATCCAGACTAAAGGGGGTCTTCCAGCTGTTGAACCCTTTCGACAAGGCCTTAATGAGCTCCTGGATGTCTGTCAGCATGTGCTTAACAAATTTGAAGCAAGTATAAAGAACTACAAAGATCAAAAGCAAGTTGAAATGGAATAGTTCTACTCTTGATCAGATTAGGATGCCTACCTGTGTGCTGTCTAATTTTATAGAGTATTGAATATTTTTGTTACAATGTAATATGTGTAAAGAGCTGGCACAGTACTTAATAAAATCGCACATAAGACGATAAACCTGAAACTCCAGTAAGGGCAAATCTGTAATTTTCTGATTAAGGAATTTCTTCAGTATTCCAATCTATTGGTGATTTTGATCCCAGGGCTCTTTTGAAGCTATCCAGCCCTTCTCACTTGGCATAATTTTACATTTCTTGGTCAATATAATCTTTTATTAGGACCTGAAAACAAGGCTTTTGCTAGCAGGTGGGTTCTGATGGGCTGCCAAAAAGTATAGGAGATTTGAAACAATTTTGTGACTTGCATCAAATGTCATACACTTTAAAGCTTATTATTTCACATGTAATTCTTTTTTTGTGTATGTGCAGATATAAAGTGTCCATTTTTTTAAATTCACGTTTTTAAATGTTTAAATACAAATGGGGGGTGGTATTTATCACATTCTGTTGCATTCATGTTCACTTAGCCATTCCTGAATTGGTGGGCATTTACCTTGTTAACCATAAAAAACTGCTTATATTTTGAGGTATAGCGTGACTTCTTATCAATGACCATTTTTGTGTCTTTGCTTTTAGAATCTCTGAATCAAAGAGTATGACCATTTTCAACACTTTGCATAATTCCAAATTTACAAAATAGCTATACTTATTCACAGTAAAGTACTATATAAAGTTAGCTATTATTCTCTCTTAATTTTTACTCAAATGTCATGCTCTCCTTTCCTCTACCACTGTCTCATGGCAGAAATGACCTTTCCCTTTGCTAAGGCAAACACCTGTACATGTGGTCTTCATTCCTTTCTGTCTCATCTTCTTCAGCAGACTGCTCTCTCTGTCATTACCACTCACTAATTTTCAATATCTATCACTGCTGCCTACAAATACTCATGTTTCTGCCATTTGATCCCTACTACCTATCATTCCATGTCTCCTTCCTTTCATGGCTAACTTCTTTGAAGAGGCCATGTTAAAATTCATACCTCCACTTCTCAATTCTGTACCCTCAGGAGTTTTGACTTCATCATTTGACTGGAATTGCTGTCCAGAGTCACCAGTGTTCTCAGTTGCTAAATCCAACGGCCTTTCATCCTTGACCTTTCCAACATTTAAGAGGGCGTCAGTCACCCTCTTCCTGGATCTTCTCACTTCTCCTAAATTTCTGTTACAGTGTCTCTCCTGGTTCTCTTCTTACCTGTCTTGAATGTTCCTCATTCTCCTTTGCTTGATCATCATCCAGGTCATGTATGATAACCCAGAGTGTCCTCCAAGGCTCTGTCCTGGCCCTTTATATACTATGTTGTTTGGTGATCTCATCAACTCATGGATTTAATTATCATAGTAGAGGTGGTTCTCATATTTACCCAGCCCTAATTTCTCCTGATCCCCAGTCTTGAATCACCAATGCTGTTGGACATCTTGAACTGGATGTCCCAAAGACATCTTTAACAGCAGCAAGTCTAAAATGAAGTTCATCTTTTCCCCAAAACCCTCCTTTGCTCAATTTCCTGTTGCTGTCAAGGGCACAATCATCCTTCACAATCAGGTTTGTAATACTCGTCCTCAACTCACTTTTACCTCATGTGCATTTATTATATATGCAAATAAGCAAAATAATAAAACATGCGTTGTCAATAATGTAGTAATTTACATCGTTGAACATGGGTACACACAACCTGACTGTGTGATTCCTTGGGCTGGTACTAATCCTCATCAGAGCTGGTCTTGCTAACCTAAACCCAAACCTGTAGCGTGTCCATTCTGGCTAACTATTATTACATTCTCTGAGATGTGTTCATACCCCAGGAGACTATAGCTGAAGTACTAGGCAAAGTATGAGTTCAGTCCTTTCTCATTATTTGAATATATTGTTGGAATATGGTATACAGATTGTTCAACTGAACTGTCTGTTTCTGAGCCATTATGTGGGGCAGAATAACTCAGGCTGCCAAGTGGAATGTCAATCACTGTCACTGTTCTTCATGACATACAACTAACTCACCTACCAGTGATATGTGGTTGCAGTGGATTTTCTTTGCAGGGTTCCCAATCTCCACAATAAGATATAGAATAGCTGTCCATTAATTTGCTAACATGTCATTAGCACCGGGATTTCTAAGGAAAAACTGTCACCTCATAGAAAGTCTTAACAAACTTGGGAAATATACTGTATGACATTTCATTCAATTTTTTTTCTTTTTTTATTAATTTATTTTAGTTTATCAACAATCACTTCCATAAGCTTTTGAGTTTTAAATTTTTCTCTCCCCCCCTCCTCCAAGATGGCGTGCAATCTAATATAGGCTATATTAAATACATGTTATATACATTCCTATTAAACATTTTCACATTAGTGATGTAAGTAAGAATTAGAACTAATAGGAGAAACCACCAGAAAGAGGAAACAAATCATAACAGAAGAAAAAAATAGTAAATAGTATGCTTTGATCTGCATTCAAACTCCATAGTTCTTTCTTTGGATGTGGATAGCATTTTCCATAATGAGGCTTTTGGAGATGTCTTAGATCCTTGTATTGCTGAGAGGGGTTAAGTCTATCAAAGTCAGTCATCACTCAATGTTGCTGTTACTGTGTACAGCATTCTGGTTCTGCTCACTTCACTCAGTATCAAACCATGCAGCTCGTTGCAGGTGTATCTGAAGTCTGCCTGTTCATTTCTTGTAGCCCAATAGTATTTCATTACATTCACATATCACATTCACAATTGTGATTACTATCTGTCTTTCTCTCCATCCTTCACACCCCCCCCTTTATGCTTTTCTTTCTCCTTTCTTTTTCACTCCTCACTAATGTTTTGCTTTTGACCACTGCCTCCCTCAGTCCCACCTCCCTTTTCTTTCCCCTTTTCCCTTCTACTGCCTATGTTAGGGCATGTTAGATTACTATGCCTAACTGATTATATTATTCCCTTCTTGAGCCAAATCTGATGAGAGTGAGGTTCAAACAATGCTCATCTCCCTTCTTTCTCCTGTATTTAAATAGGTTTTTGTGCCTTTTCCTGTGATGTAATTTAACCTTGTCTGCCTCCTCCTTTTTTCTTCAGTACATTTTCTTAGATTAATTCACTTACTTGGATCCGTTTTACCCACTTGATTAGATTTTTTTCATCATTACATCAAAGTCAATTTATATCCACTCCCTTTATGTATACCTCTTTAACATGGTATAATAACAATACAGTTCTCAAGAGTTACAAGGGTCATCTTCCCTTACAGGGATATAAACAGTTTGCCTTTATTAACAACATATTGCATCTTTCTGTCCTATTTACCTTTTTATATCTCTTTTGAGTGTTGTATTTGAAGATCAAATTTTCTGTTGACCTCTGGTCTTTTTATCAGGAAGGTATGGAAGTCCCCCTATTTTGTTGAATATCCACCTCCTCCCCTGAAAGATCATGCTCATTTTTGCTGGGTTCAATGTTTTTCTAAGCTGAAATTTTAGCTCCCTTCTCTCACAGCCAAGAAATATGCTATTCACAAGTGTCTGCCTTCCCTCTATCCTCCAAGACTGAAAACACAAGTACAGTTAGTAAGCATGTGTCATACTAAAACATTAGCAGGTAATGTGGAAAGTCTATGGTACCGATCTTGATAGAATGTACTTGGTACTACTGTAACAGGGACAGAAGGACCCAATCCATGAAATGCTTTCAATAATCCTACTTCTTAATACGTTCATCAGTGTGCAGATGAAAATATGAAAGTTATAGGTCTCTTTGAGAGTGGTAAAGTAGTGTGCTAGATTTCATAATGCCAGCCTCATAATGTCCTTGAGAAGTATCATTCAGCTTGTTCTTCCTCTTATCTTCCTTTCTTTTCCTTTTTCTTCTGTTTTTCTTTTTCTTACTCCTCCCTCCTCTGCCTTCTCCCTTTGAATAATATCTTAATTTTCACTTGAGGGGATAGACAAAATGGAAAAGGCAGTGATGTATACAAGACAAGTTACTCTGTTAAAAGACTAGTTTCCATCCTTAATCATTTTCTTATGAAGACTTTGTCCTTGGCCTAATTCACCTTCACACAGGGAAGTCTAGATAAGGCTTAACCTAAAAAAAGTTATTTCTTAATATTTTTAGAGGAACTATAAAGGATTTTATTTTAATCTATAATTTGTGTTATGTATTTATCAGTCCCTTTCCCCTTGGAGACTAGGGAAAGAGCAGCTCTTTCTACCCTTCCCCTACCCACCCATTCCACCCCAACTCATGCTGGCTTTCTCCTCAGAGATAGTGGATACTTTAGATTGTATCTATCAGTGCCTTCCAGCAAGTTACATTTAGATAACCCATATGGATATACATATATTAAATGGGCACACAACATCTTACACATTAATATAAGGCTTATACTCATTATCACTTTAAAGAAATAAAAAGCCAAAAAAGACAAGATTCAAAAATTTGTAAATAGGCAGCATGAGTCAATCATGCCTTTCTTTGCATACAGCAAGCACAAAATTCACGTTTCCTAGTGACATCTACAGTATTGATGGACCAGTCAAATTTGTTTCTTGTTAGCTCTAGGCTCTTTTCTTCAGGCAACAGTCAATAGGTATTTATTAATTGCCAAGCACTGTACTAAGAATTGAGGATACAAAGAAAGGCAAAAGATAGTCCAAATTTATCATGTAAAGCTTTCGTGACCATGCATAGCACCAACTGCTTCCTGGTACCATGTGCAGGATAAGTGACAGTCCAGCATAGCTTCAAGTTTTGCATTTTGCCTTCAAGGGACGGGAAATTGAGTCACTTTTGATATAGTTGCCTCACTTCTGGGCTTCTGTTTTTTTCTCTAAGTCTTTCTTCAGCCATCTATTCCTTTTTCTCAGTCAAGAATAAAGGAAAAAATTAATGCTGGTCCAAGTATGGGAAAACATGTACACTAGTAGGTAGCTAGGTGGCACAATAGATAAAGTACTGGACCTGAGATCAGGAAGTCCTGATTCAAATTCAATCTCAGATACTGGTTGTGTGACCTTGGAAAATTCAACCTCCCTCAATTTCCTTAACTGTAAAATGGGGATAATAATAGCACCTACCTCCCAAGGTTGTTATGGCATATGAATGTTAAATATAGCAAACTATGAAATGGATAATTCCAGAAAACCCTTGCATAACTTATATGAACTAATGTGGAATAAAGTGAGCAGACCAGGAGAGTAATTTGTATAAGCAACATTATTTAAATTTTTTTTAAACTTGTAAGGATCAAATTGGGTAATATTTGTAAAGTTCTTAGCACAGCGCCTGCCACATAGCAGGTGTTTAATAAATGTTTATTCCCTTCTCAGCTGCTGTACTGTTGGTGGAAGTGTGAATTTGTCCAGGCATTCTAGAAAGCAATTTGGAACTATGACCAGAAGGTTACCAACTGTGTATACCCTTTGACCCAGATATACCACTACTAGACCTATACTCCTAAAGAAATCAAAGGAAGAGAAAAAGTATATGTATATAGAAAAAATATTTAGAGTCACTCTTTTCATAGTAGCCAAAAATTGGATACTAAAGGGATATCCTCTTATGGGGGAATAAACAAATTGTGATATGAATATTATTGTGGTATATGAATGTGGTAAAATATTATTTTGCCATAAAAATTATTAAAGGGATAGTTTCAGAGAAAACTGAGAAGACTATAAACTCAGAGCAAAG